TTTGGAGGAATTTAGAAATGAAACTTATAAAAATGCTAGGAGTTAAAAGATTAAAAAAAAATGGCATGACCGTAATCTATTAAGAAAAAAATTACCCCTAAATAAGAAGTTCTTGTTATTTAATTGTAGATTGAAATTATTTCAAGGTAAACATAAGTCCAAGTGCTGAAGTACATTCACTGTTATAAATGTATTCCCTTATGGAGCTATAGAAATTCAAGACAAAATGACCATTCACATCTTTAAGGTAAATGGCCATTGGTTGAAACCTTATTTAGGAGGAGATATAAATCATTTAAGAAATATCACTGAATTGGGTCACCCTCTAGAGAAATATTTGACATAGTTTGATTATTTAAATAGCAAGTAAAAACTATTTAATATTAAGAATAATACTAAACTTTAGGTGATAATTTTGATGAATAAAGAATCTCAAATTTTAATTTAGAAATCACAATAATTAATTAAAGAAAATCATCTAAGTTATTGACTTTCTTTGAACTTAAAAGCTATTTAAGCACAGACTAAATATTAAAAGATTGAATAATTAAGTTTAGAGAAAGGGAGTGTATAGATGAAATTATGAAAATTATTGTAAACTTGAATATGGAATTACTGAGCATATTAATATCTCTACATTATTTCAATTTAGGGTTACTTGAAGAAAGAAAGTAATTATATATTTAAAATTATTATTATGTACCAAACAAATATGAAAAATATGAAAATCAAAAGAAAGAAAGAAAAATAAAAATAAAAAAGGAGTACTTAAAAAATTGGTATCTGATAAAGCTCTATTCCTAAGGGTATTCTAATGCTACAATCAAATAAAAAAATGTAAGTAAACTAATACATATGACGGGTTACTAATGAACTTCTTTTTAAGAGAGTTGTAACTTAGCGTTTTGCATGCTTTATATTCTTGCAACTTGTTATTTTGATGATTCCAAATATTATTATATTGATTATTAATTTCTCCTAACACATTTTGGAAGAAGTGTTTTTAGCTCTTGTGTGTACTAACATTTCAGGGAAATCATACTCTAGATTATTGAAGACTTCAAATAAAGATCTGATTATAATATTTTGTATTTTGGAGTCTGTATTTTGTTCATTTTTTTATTTAGAGAGTGTGTGATTGTAATTGAGTAACTAAGCACACACACACTGGGGGAGATCTTTAAAAGTTAAAATTTCTTATACTGATCGTACGGGATGAACCATTTTAGTACAGGATGATCAGGTCAGTTATACCCCTTGATGAGTAATGGAACGAACAGCAAGTGAGAAAATTTTCTAAGTCCTGATCGTCCGGACGAATTGTCCCATTCGTTCCTAGACGATGTCCTCTAAATTCTCACTTTGAACTGTTCATCCAGATGAATTGTCCCATTCGTCACTGGATGATGTCCTCTAAATTCTCACTTTGAACTGTTCGTCCAGAAGAATTGTCCCATTCATCCATGGGGGATGTCCTCTGAATTCTCACTTTGAATTGTTCATCCAGACGAATTATCCTATTCATCCCTGGATGATGTCCTTTGAATCCATGACTTAATTAATCGTTCAGACAAATTATTCCAATCATCTCAGGATGATGTTATCTGGATCCATGACTTGAACTAATCATCCAGACGAACTTGTACCTTCATCCCAGGACGATGTCCTTTGTTCCTTAAACTTTTGGATCGTCCTGTAGTTATCTTCCAATGTAGTCTGGAAATAACTATTAGTACCGGATGAACTATGTTCGTACGGGATGATGATTGGGTATGAAGTCATTTCGTACCAATGCACATTGAGTTCGTACACAATAGTTTTTACACTGTTCGTACGTAAGAATTATGATCGTACGGGACGATCGAGTACGTACATAATTAAAAATTTGCTATTTTTGGATGGTTTTTTTATGTCTTTCATATAAAAGGTCTAATTAAAACTATCTTGTAATCTTTTTGTCCGCCGGTCTTCATGCAAACTGAAGAGAGACTAAAGGAGAGAGTGTTTGTAGAAGATTTCTTACTACAGGAGCGTGAAGTGTTCACTTGATACTCAAAGGTAAGGATCTTCATTTGTGAATTTTGATTACTTCACTCTATTCTCTTGTCCTTCCTGATTTCTCGTGAGAAGATCTTATCAAGGAGATCTGGTTCTCTGTCGACACTCAAGGAATGTGAACAGCGAGAAGGTTATCTGCCTAAACTTGGAGAAGTGTGAAAGGATGAAGGGTTCTCTGCCCATACTTGGAGAGTGTGAAAGGATGAAAGGTTATCTGCCTATACTTAGAGAGTGTGAACAGTGGGAGGTACTCTGCCTACACTTAGAGGGTGTAAAAGGATTACGGTTCTCTGCCACACTGGGTAGTGGTGGAAGAGAGTTTTTATGAAGGCTTCTCTGCCTTGTTGTGTGGGCAAAAGGAGAGACACTAATTGGTAATAGTGCAATACCTGAAGTGGGAAAATTCAGGGAGTGGATGTAGGTCGTGTTTGACCGAACCACTATAAATCTTTTGTCTTTTTATTTTTCGCTGCTTATTTACTTTACTGTTTCTGTGTGATTTGTGGTTGAAAATTCTTTTTTAAAAAAAAAACTTCATTAAAAAGTTTGAATCGGTTTAAAATTTTAAGAGGGAAATTTTTTAAATTACTTACCAATTCACCACCCTCTTATTTTTTAATTACCAATTCACCCCCCCCCTCTTGGTTAGCCACTGGGACATAAATTTAGGTGTAACAACCTAATTTATAATTAACAACTCTCAACACTTCTAATTTTACTGTATACACAAAAAAATTATAAATGGTATATTATTCATATTTAAAAATTAGTAGTCAATATTGCACTTACACTTGTAGTGGATATATTAAAATTAAGCAAGAATAAGGATGATTGATTAGGATAATTACTTATGAGCATTTAAATTAAAATTGTATAACTTTGATCATTCCAAATTACATCTAAATTATGAAGTATTTTCTTACATTTTGATAATCTTAAATTGCCAATTTTTATTTGGGCTAATGAGCTAATTAATAAGTGATTGCAGTTTTGCTTGAGAGCAAGAAAGAGTTTAAGTTATGGGAAATTTTTTAAGCGTAAATTTTGTAGTACTTTCTATCTTACATATTACTAAAAAAGTTGCTTTTTTAGTTCTTTTCATGTAGGAATATATTAAGAAAAAGGATAAATTTTTCATAAGTGTTGAACCAGCACCGCATCGCTCTAACCACCAACATCGCAGCACCCACAATGCTGTAGTGCGAGATCAAAAAATCATAGTATTGGAGCCTCAGGAAAAATGGCAATTAATTAAATGCCTCGATAGATCCAAGGGTAGTGATGCAGTGCTTCGTAACATCGCAACACCATAAATTAGTGTCACAACACTTGGCTCTCAAGAATTTGAGTCCTAGGGTGCCGAACTTTATAACACCATACTTCCAAATTGCACATTTAAGCACTACAGCTCTAAACTTTTAGAGCATCATCATGGTGAAGCAGTTGATGAAAGATGGAGTCATACAAAATTAGCTAAGTGACACACCGGCTTAGCCATTAAATGTGCTAAATCAACCCAACCACATGGCAGAGCAAGCCCAACAATGTTGAGGTGCTAGTTCATTCTATAACTTTACGGTGACACCATATCGAGTGCCAAGGCCCCTCAGTCCATTTTGTTTAAGTATAACTAGTTTTTCAGTTTATTTGGGTGTGGTTCTATCAGAATTATATTAGGGATTTTCAATTTTAGTGAGTATTGAATGCTTACGTGTAGTTCCCACTTGTAGTCAAGTCTAAAAGAGGCCAAAAGAGAAAAAGATACTTTATTTGGGAGATAATCAGCCCATATATTATAAGCTTATATATTTAGAGGAGAAAAGAGAATGGATAGTTATTTATACTATCCAAATGATATCAAAGCTCACTTATACTCTTATACTTCCTCTTATATGCAAGCGATGAAATCTATTTTACTTTCTTGTATTACTTTAGCTAACTACTTTTTAGTTTTAGGCTAATGATGTGAATCATTTACAAGTGCTCATTTATATTCTTATGCTTTGAATCAATAATGAATATTTTGAATAACTCTCATTCTTATTTTAATGAATATAATGGTTATGTGTAATTAAAATTTAGTGTGATATATTATCATGATGGAGAAATATTATAATAATTAGGAATGTTGGAATGGAGCTCTTACATGTGTAGACATGGGATGATTAGTGTTCTAGGTCTTATGGAGATACAATAATTATAAGAAGCCTCCCTTTATGTTACTACAAGCTTGATAGAGATCTAGGGATGCATATATTCTGATCCAATTTAACATAGAATAGTCCACTTAGGAAAACTTAGGTAATTCATAGTCATTACCCCAAAATATTTAATCGTAGGGTATTATATCTTTTATTTTGCATTCACTAATAGAGAAGGAATCTTAACCCTTATATTTGTCTAGTAGAATAAACAATATAGTTGTAATAGGCAATACTTATTCAATTGCATGTTAACAAAACACTTTCTTGTGGGATTTACCTCTCTTAATCACTTTATTACTTGTTCAACCCATGTACTTGCATTTATAGTGGGTATTGCATATCAAAGAAAATCTAAGCATACTTCAACCTAGAGCATAAAGCTTTAAAATAGTATTCTTAATAATCCTTAGTAATCTTGTGAAATTATGAGATAATAAAATATTACACAAGAGCTAAATTTGTTATCTACTAATAAAGTTTTGTGTGTGTGTGTGTGTGTGTGTGAATGAAAATAAAATAAAAATCAATGATGAGTTAGATTTCTATTATGTTAGAAGTTATTCATTAGTTCTATGATCTGTTTTAAATAAACAAAATCTAAAAAGTCTCTTGAGCTTGGTCTGCCACCATCTAGCATGATATGATATACTTTATATGTGGGTTATATTTTAGTTGGGTTTTGGCATAAGGGAACATATAAGACTATTATAAAATATCTAAATGATAAGTCAATCAGGTAATGCATGGTGTGGACACTTTATAAGCAATTCCTTAAATCTCTCCCAAGATATGTACTAATTCTCCATTTAGTTAGGTGAATGAGGATATGTCATTCCTAAGGTTTATATTCAAGGATGGGGGAAAATACATGATTAGGAATTTTTTATTTAAGTGATTCCATATAGTGATTCATCTTGGGGATAAAATATTTAACCAAAATAATCTAAATCTAATTGTATTATCTGAGACTCAGTTATACTTAAATGTAACCATATCTCCAAGAAATTAGCTATATGGAATATAGGATCCTCTACAGACGTTTTCCCAAATTGGAAATATTGTTTCATTTAGATAATAGTAGGTTTTATCTCAAATTTGTTAGCTCTAATATTTCATTTATTAATGCTTAGGTAAATACCCTAAACCATGGGATTTACATATTCTCTAAATGGCCTGACTTTGTTATTCTCTAAAATTGGATCAGCCATTTCTTATTCCTCTTATGATTTTTAAAACTTTTTAATTTTTCTAAGGGTCTTTTAATTTTAAAATGAAGGAACATTTCTCATAGTTGATTCTTATTATGCATGCAACAGTAACACACACAATATGAAAAATATAAATCATAGCACTGTTGAATAATTAACAAGACTATAAAACTAAATTTTAAAGAAAATAAATAACAATGCCAACTTAAAATAAGTTAATTAAAGATAATGATACAATTAAATAAATTATCCTTTTATAAATATAAAGTGATACTTAACTAAGAATCCTCAACAATCATGCCAAAAACTTGACAATACTTTTACTACTTTTATTGTTCTTGTTATATTAATTATTTTAATGTGATATAAATCATGCTCTACAGAAGTATATGTGTTGTGTCAAATAATAAAGTGATGAGGAGTATCATTCCCACGAGGAGCTGAATTATCCTAAGGTCACTTTAGTGTTTCTTTTATGAACTACTTAATTTATCTTATCAATCAAATAAAAAGGGTTGTGTTATTGATAATTAATATATATGGTTTAAAGAAACAAATTATATATCTAATGTACTCTAAACCTATGATATTTAAAAATAGATATTTATAATAGTTAGATTTTTTATATTGATATGAATCAAAGCATAATTACTCTTCATTTCTATGGATTTTGTTAGAATGTTTAGATAAGATTTCTATCAACTACAATGTTAATATCTCCTTAAGATCTCAAAACCCTAACCACCATATGTCTATGCATAAAAAAGTTAAGTTTAAATCCCCTAATTGTTCATCTATTTCTCCATCAAGATAGTAAATCATATTAAATTTTAAGTTTATGCAATGCCTCTACATAAACTAAATGAAGCATGAAGGAATTAAAAACAACATTAAGCAATTCATGAAATTATAAATCTAGATTAGAGCAAGCATGTTTCTAAACTGTCATAGCCTAGAAAAAAATTTTAGCAAGAAATGGAGATTAAACTAAACAACACAAACTCCATTGCAATATAAAAAAAAAAGTACAAGAGATGAGTGAGGATATCAATAGGAAATCTTTTACAACTACTACTACGAACTTCTTGCACTCCTTTCGCTCTTCCCTCTAGACTCTCCCTAGATTAACACAAAGTGGCAAGCCTTCTCAAGTAGTAGCATCCTCTTACATGTAAAATGTGCTCTATATTTATAGTTTTTGTAAATAATTGATTAAGCACCGTGGCGACGACTAGGTACAATTGTGATGCTATTGAAACATCATGTCACTGCATTATTCATTGCATCAATTTGTCAGTTCAACTATTTGTAACTATATTTCATTATGATGCTTTGTCGATTTAGCACTACGGAACTTAGTCTAGTGTTGAGGTGCTCCATCCTTTTTCACCCTCATGGTTAAGGAAAATAATCGTCATGTCCTTTTTCACCCTCCTAGCAAAGGCAGAGAACTGTCACATCCTTTTTCACCCTCCTAGTGAAGGTAGAGTACCTTGATCTAATGTTGAAGATCTTCTCCCAAGAGCCTCCAAAGAAGTCAGGCAGAAACTTGAAGAAGAAGACAAAAAAGATCCTTACCTTAGGTAAACTTATGAATCTATCATAATTTTCCTTCACTAGATCTCTCACTCTTCACTCATAAAATTTCTCCCAAACACACTCTCAAAAGAAGTTTACATCAAAGGAATCTCTCAGTTAGTTTTTAGAACCTAATTTATAGAAAAATCATGAAAAACTATCCAAAAATTGAAATTTACAAGAGATCTGTCGTATAATCGTACGGTACGATTGAATATCATATGATACAAACTTTTCAAAAAATCAAGCCTTTTGTTTAGTACGATATGGTATGAACCTTATTTCGTACTTTGTCAGTCGTCTATACGAATTAATATCATACTATATGAACTGTTAAAAAATGAACAAGTTCATTTGGTATGATATTATATGAAATGAATTTCATACTATGTTAGTCATCCGTATGAATTAAGATTGTACAATATTAATTATTAAAAAATGAACAAGCTCATCGATTTTGATATCGTACAAAAGGAATTTTGTTCTTTGTTAGTCATGTATACAAATTGAGATCATATTGTATAAACTATTAAAAAATTAAAAAGTTTGTTTAGTACGATATGGTACAAAAGGAATTTTATGCTCTATTAGTCATCTGTACCAATTAAGATAATATTGTACGAACAGTTCAAAAATTGAATATGTTCATTCGATACGATCAAGTACAAACCTATTTTTGTACTCTTTCATTAATCTGTACGATGTGACATATTATTGTATGACTAGTTCAAATAATTTAATCCATGATTTGATTAATTGTGTTATGAGGAAAACTAAGTCAAATTATACATTAAGATTAAATATCGTACAATATGAATAATGTTAAAAATTTAAGTTTTAACTATCTCTCTCCCTCGTATATGTGTACTGGTTACCCAATTACAATCACATTCGCTTAGACTCAAGAAATAAAAATTGAGATATACAAACTCTATTACATGAAATCATATTCTCTCTATCTCAAAGTATTCAACAATTTGTAGTATGATTTTCTAAAATGTTAGTACATACTGAAATAAGAAAACAAAAATATAGAAGATATGATATGAGAAATAACAAAATTATCAACAAAATAATTAGTTTTATTATCATTAAAATCACAAGCTCAATCTTAATTCCTAGGTTGTAATAATCTCCCCTTTTTTAATGATGGAAAAATAATTATTGTTAAAACTACTAATTAACATTCTTTTCTCCTAAGCTCCTCCTCAATGAGTGAAATAATAAAAATCATGGGGAAAAGAATTTTGTTGTATAAGAAATAAGGAATTTCATCTTATAAATCAAAACACAGATACAAGACCAAAGACAAAAATTTATTAAAAAACAAAGACTACCAGAACACCACCAGAAAATAAACAACAACACACACAACACAAACAACAATACTAAATAACATAAGACTTGAAACAATCACTTGACACTGATACCACAAGACTTCAAACAATTACTTGATACCTCCCCTTTTAACATCAATAAAAAAGAGGAGAATTCCCTAAAAAAGTAAGATTCTATGAACTAATCTAATTGTCGATAAAGAAGAGAATTTTAAACATTTTCGAAAAATAATATTAAATTCCTTATGTGAAAAACTCATATTTTAAATTAAAGAACAACTAAGATAAAAATAGTTTAGCATGATCAATGTTCGTTCTAAAAAGCGTGAATATCAAATAAAATAATTATTAAAAAAAGAATAAAATAAAAATCATATAGTTTCAAATTCATTAGTTGAAGTTATTTTTAAATGCATGGGTTTTTCTAAGAATTAGATATATAGAGGAAAGAAGATGTAGTGTGGGCTCATTTTATGCCTCTTTTCAATTTTAGCGATCATTGTGCATCTTTTGATTTTGAATTTTATTTGTTGAACATTGCACATCTTTTCAGGTTAGGTCCATTTGGTGCCTCTTTTTAATTTTGGCACAATTTGTGCATCTTTTGACATTTTGTTCTTTTCACAATCTAAATAAGCAAGTCTTATCTTGTGTGATTATCTTCGAAAAAGAAGATAAAAATCCAATAGATAATAATAAGATAACAAAGTGAAAAAGAAAATAAGAGAAAAAATAAGAAATCTTTTTATAACAACGATAACTATAAGATGTATGTATATTAGAACACCAAAGATGATCTCCTTATCTAAATGTAATTATATTTTGATTTAAGGTTTGAGAAAAACAAAATTATGGTAAAGAAAATAACATTGTAATGCAAAAACATTAAAATTTTTCATTTCTTAGATCAACAAAGCTAAATTAGTCAATAGTAACTTAGAGACAACCCAGAGAATTAAAAATAGAACAAGTCAATCATTGCAATATTTTTTAATGAAATAACAACATAACATAGATTCAAATAAAAAGTAATTGATCCAATACCACTAATACAAATAATCCAAAACATCTAAATATGATATCATAAAGATTAAAACATCAAAACATACATCAACAAAAACTAAAACTAACTAAACTAATAAGCTGGGGGATCTTGATCTGGAGGTGGTTTTGGAGGATTAAATATGGTAAAGTAACTATTGATGGTAGCTACTTGAGTAATGATTGAATCAAACTATCCTCTAACCCAACCCATATATTCCTTATATATGACATCCTTCTGGTCTAAGCAAGTATTAATATGATCAAATTATTGATCAAAATGAGACTCAAGTTGATCAAATTATTGGACAAATTCTTGATAGAAATGATGCTCAGGTCCAGGAGCAGGTGCATGTGCTAGAGCAAGCCCTTCTTCTTCTTCTCCAATTTCATCTCCCTCACCCTCTTGATCCCGATGAAAAAGAGTGTGAAATGAAGCATCAGTAAAATAGATTGGTAGATTATCTAGTGGATAAGGATGAATAAGATTGTACTTTTTCTCCAAAATGTAAGCAATTAAGTGACCTAAATCAATGTTAAGATATTAAGAGAGAGAAGCTCCCAGAATTAAGAGAGTGAAAGTTCATTTAATTTCAAATATTATCAATCCTTTTTTTTTGGTTCGACCGCCGATGATGGAAGAAGCTGCGGCATTCGCCTCTGATCATCGGATTCCTCC